TATATATATATATATATATATATATATAAAATATATAAATAAAATAGAACTCATGTGTGTGAAAGAGTATGAGACCAAGTAAAGAGGCCATGAAAAAGAACTTTGAAAATTCTGCAGATATCTAGAATTCAAAGCAGTGTGAAAGAATAACAGCATTATTACTGAGTAAAAGCTTTCTGTTCCATCAAAAAGAAAACTTTGCCATTGTTAAAAAACAATTTAAAATGTCATGTGAAAGCATCATTAAAAAAACTGAAATAAATAAAATCTTACTTTTCCCTATGGTACTTTGTGCCGGCCCTTGATCCCAATCTTTAGGACGTACATTTGCTTTACTATCTGATTTAATTGCAGATTGTTTTGATGATAAAGATGAAAGTTCTAGAGCATTGTATGAATCAAACAAATCCGAGGTAGTGGCCATCATGCCTAAAGAGAAAGGAAGGAAAAATTATTTGAAATCAAAACTATCGTATCAGATTTACACAAAATCAGTCATAGCAAAATCTAAGAATATCTAGTACTTATTTTTTTTTAAATCACTGTATTTATAATAATGGCAGAAAGTAAATAAAAATGACAAAGAAATAATTCATGAGGCCACCTCAAGAGATCCTCTGTCATCACACTATTAGCATATACAAATAACTTAGTGCTTTAGGGATAGCTCCAAATTATCCTTACTGTAATTTCTGATCTCCACACCTCTTTTCCTTCTTTTTCAAGCTTATCTGGTAAAATATCAGCAGCCTGTTATTATGGGTCCACTTAGTGATATGGACCTGGATAATAACATGATAAGGTTTTTATGTTCTTACATATCATGGTCAACACATACATATTATATTCTCCAGATCTGTTTATTTGAAAAGAAATGATTCAATTTTTATCCAGTAAAAATTTCTTATATTCCTATTAATGTGAAAGGTTGTACTTGTTGAGAAAATGATAGATTCTGTTTTCAAGAAATTTGTAGAGGAGTATGGTTATTATCTCTTTTTAAACTTTGTTTAAGTTTGTTAAATTTGTTCATATCATCTAAAAATAACAATGGTCCCAAAACAAAAACTGGGCATATTACTAATCTTCAAATAATAATAATAATAATTTAAAAGTTGCAACCCCTTTCACTGCTGATTTATACCACTTTTTAGCAATTCTTTTATCAGTGATCACAAACAATATATTTCTAAATGTTAAACTTCCATCGCTTCTCGGCCTTTTGGCTAAGATCAAGTGTAAATGTTAAACTTCCTAACTTTCAGTTAAAGCATGGTGTTTTAATAAAATAATTCTTTTCCTTAAAAATTAAAAATAGAATCTAAACTCAATAAATGCAGTTACTTCATTGCTAGAACTATTGTTTTCCTAATATGAAATGAAGGAGCTTTGGTATCTAATGTTTTCAATAAGTAAGAATACTAACTCAAAATTTCATAATTTTCTATCTTAATGAAATTTTTTAATAGCATCTAATGAGTAATACAAAGAATAAATATTAGTATATTTTAATGAATTGGAAAGAGTACAATTTCTATGTTTATAATGAGACCTAAGAAAGAAATTATATCCATGAATATTGAATTACTTTTTTTTTTTTGGTAACCTTTAACTGAAAAGTTTGGTAAGCTCAGTATGTAGGAATATATTGTTACACAATCATTAATAATATAATTACTACACAAATAAATATACATATTACAAATTGGCAATGTTAAGATATTAGGGTGATTTAAAACTTTTTTATTTGAAGACAACAAATTACTGCTGATTTTAGTTTGAACATAATTACATTTCTTAGTTTAAATAAGTTTAACAGAAAACCTCTAAACCTCCAACCCATCAAACTATAAGTTAAATATGTTCATTTTTATATATCAAATAAATATACCCCAATGATAAATAAATTTATATTTCAAAAAATATATTTACATACCTCAATAAAGCTGTTAAAAAATAAAATCTCAAGCTACATGCCCTAATATTATGTTCAAGAAGAGTAATAAATAAAAAATGACTGCATTTTCCAATTTTATAGTTATATATTATTAAGGCTCTTAATTTAACTGGTAACAGAAAAAAAAAGTAGTTTAAATTATACTTTTTTTTTTTTTCAGCATTTCTGGGTTGGTCTAAGGTATTTCCAGTGGGAAATGGGTTGTGATAGGAGAGTGTCCAGGAGCTTTAAACAATTAAGGGTGTTTTATTTGTTAGGCTGGCTAGTAAAGCACATGGAATTAATTCTTTCTTTACCCTACACATATGTGTTATACACTTCTATTAGTGGTAGTATTTCATAATAAATGTTTTTTAAGTATTAAATACATTATTTACACTAAGTATTTCAAATATAACCAAGTAAATAGTAAGGTTTAATCATACAATAAAAGCATATCTCTTCTCTGCCTGATTTTGAATGAAACTCCAAGATAGATGCACAAAATAAATGGAGATCAAAATATTACCTTCATTACTGGTAAGGGTGATTGAAAAATGTGGTCTTAAATCTGCAACTAAACAGATTAACTACTTCTTTCCTTCAGAATGTATGGAATAAATACTAACTAGCACAGCTAGATAAGCAACAACCTGTTCAGCAGGGGTGAGATCAGAATGCAAGCCTTCTGCAAGTGAAAAATCATAACTAAAAAATTTGGAAGTGGTCGAGCTTTAATTCATTTTCCTAAATACTTCTTTATCACATTAGTCACTTTTCCTTTCGTAGGAATGAATGAATAAAGTACACAGAGAGGTCAGAAATTATTAATTTAGCTGAATTACTTCTGTAAAGATTCACTTAACGTGAGAATGACCTTTCCCCTGACAATATACATATAGCAAATTCTGGTAAAGGTGGTTGTTCAGATAACTGAATTTCTTCAATTTATCTAAAGACACCTAATGGAAAAGAGATCAGGAACTAAATTAAGAGCAGTAATGGCAAGCTATAAACAGAGAAAAATCCAGGTAGATAACACTGTGTATGGGAGGGGGGGGGGGGGGCGGCGGTGGGGGGTGTCTTTCACTCCATTAATATTTTATATTACATAGATTGATTTCCATATGTTGACCCCCTCTTGCATCAGTGGGATAAACACTACCTGAGCATACTGTATAATCCACTTAATATGCTGCTGAACTGAGTTTATTTATACTTTGTTAAGGATATTTACATCCTTAATAATAATGAACATTGGTCTGTAGTTTTCTTTTATTTCAATTTCTTTATCTGACTTTGGCATCAGAATAATGCTGGTCTCATGAGTTTCAAAATGTTCCGTTCTTTTTTTCCCCTTCTCATTTTTGAAAAGATTTGTATTAAATCGTCTATAAATGATTCATAGAATTCACCTGTAAAATCTTTGATAGGAGGTTTTTGGTTACTAATTCAATCTCTTATTGTTTTAGTAAGCTTTAGCATCACTGTGACCAAACTACCTGACAAGAACAACTTAGAGGAGGAAAAATTTATTTTGCCATATGGGTATCAGAGGTCTCAGTCCATAGAGGCTCCATTCCTCTGGGTCCAAGGTTGAGGCCGAGGATGGACTCACTAGGTTCCAGCTCTCACAATCCAACTACTATATATCTGAACACTTCTGCATGAACACAAGGCATGAACACAAGACATTGGGGGATGTCTTATATCCAAACTATTAAATCTGTCATACATCTGTTGCGATTTTCTATTTCTCCTTGAGTCAGTTTTGGCACTGTGTGTGTGTCTAGGAATTTGTCCATTTTATTTAGTTATCTAATTTATTGGCATACAATTGTTCGTAGTATTATATTATAATCCATTTTGTTTTGGGAAGGTCAGGAGTCCCACTTTCACTTCTGATTCTGGTTATCTGAATCATTTCTCCATTTTTGGGTAGTCAATCTTGCAAAAGTTTTGTTAATTTTGTCTATCTTTTCAGACTACCAACTTTATTTATTTACTAGTTCTGAAATCTTCTTATCTCCACTCTAATCTTTATTATTCCCTTCCTTGTGCTAGCTTTTGGATCTTTACATCTTAAGGTATAAAGTTAGGTAACTGGTCTAACCCAGACCTGACACATGCTAGGCAAACATTCTACACTGAGCTATATCAGCTATAAATTTCGCCCTAAGCATTGCTTTCACTGCAGTCCATAAGTTCTAGCATATGGTATTCTCATTTTTATTTGTCTAAAAGTATTTTTCAACTTCTCTTGTATTTTATTCTTTAACTTACCAGTTAAGAATATGATGTTGATTTCTACATATTTGTGAACTTTCCACTTTTCCATCCATTATAGATTTTTAGTTTCATTACACTATGGTCAGAAAAGTTCTCTAGATGATTTCAAAATTTAAAATTTTATCAACTCATGTTTTATGTCCTAATATAATGGTCTATCTTAAAGAATGTTGCATGGAAACTTGAGAAAAATATGTATTTTGCTATTTAGAGGTTGAGTATTCTGTGTACGTTTGTTATTCTAGTTAGTTTATATTGCCATTAAAATCCTATATTTTCCTATTGATCTTGTTCATTGTTCATAATTGGCAGTGGTATATTGAAACTATTATTGTAAAATTGTTGATTTTATCCTCCAACTGTGTCTATTCTTGCTTTGTATCTTTTGGGGTTTTCTTGTTAGGTGTGTGTGTTTATAATTGCAATATCTTCTTTATAGATGTTTTTGTTTCTTATAACAATTTCTCTAAAGACTCTTGCATAATACTAGTATAACCGTCTTAACTTTCTTTTGGTTTCCATTGGCACTCTTTCGCATATACTTGTGTCATTGGATCTAAAAACCCTACTCCTTACACAGCTCCATCCCACCACTTTATGTTGTTTTCAAAATTATGTTTACACATTATATGCCCATTAACATAGTCTTATGTTATGTTAGTCTTATAATTATTGTTTTTCTTTTCGAGAGTGGGTACTGGGGATTGAACTCAGGGGCAGTCAACCACTGAGTCCTTTATGAGTCACTTTTCTATTATTGCTTTCAAGATTTTTCTCTTTGTCTTTTGACAGTTTAATTATCTAGTGTCTCTACCTGGATGTCATTGTTTATCCTTCTTATAGTTTGTTGACCCTCTTGGAAGTGCAGATTTATGTCTTTTATCAAATTTGAAAAGACTCTGGTCATTTCTTCTTCAAACATTCTTTGCATCCTTTATCTCCTTCCTCTCTGAGAGTGACATTATGTATATATAGCCATGCTTATGGTATCTCATGGGTCCCTTAGTGCTGCTCACTTTTATTTTTTTCTTTCTGCTACACAGGTTAGAATTTTTAAATTGATCTATCTTTAAGAATCAATGATTATTTCACCATCTTGCTCAAATCTACTATTGAAAACTCCAGTTTTTCCAGTTCAGTTATTATACTTTCAATCTCCAGAATGATTCTTTTTACAATTTCTTTTTATTGATATTCTTTATTT